ACGCTCACATCGGCGGCGTCCGGCGACGGCTCGCAAGCTGTCTCGGTCGACGGGCGAGAAGCAGCGGCGAGCGAGGTCAGCGGGCCAGCGGCGTCGGCCTCGGAAGTCGTGGCGGTCGACGTGGTCTCGCCGGGCCCAGCGGGGGGAGATGCGGAGGGAGACGCCGGCGCGTATGGGAGACGGGCCAGATGGGCGGCGTTCCAGGTCCGGCCGTCAGCCAGACGGTACGTTGCGGGACCGACGCGCCCAGTGACTCGCACCGGAGACGTGAACCGACAGGACGTCTTCGAGCGGTGTCCCTGCCGTCTCACGCAGACGTAGTCGCCCTCAGTGATGCGCGGCGTCGTCACGCCACGGCGGCGGTCGTAGGACCTCTTGTTGGACTGCTGTCGGCGTCGAACTCGAGACGCCACACTGTCGGCTCCTGGTGTTGACGGCTGAATGACAGGCAGGTTCAGCCTCATCTGTCGTCCATGCAGGAGCTCTGACGGTGACTTCCCAGTTGTCGTGTGTGGGGTGGCTCGATACACCGCCAGGCTCTTGCGTACCTCGTCAATGAACGCTGCTGGTGGACAGTCTGTGATCCACGACTTGAACGTTTTGTTGAAGCGCTCTACGGCGGAGTTGCCTCTAGGCCAGTAGACGGACGATTTGGTGTGCTTCACCCCTCGGGCGGCCAGATACGCAGTGAACTCCCTGCTCGTGAACTGGGGTCCATTGTCCGTCACGATCTCGTCGGGATAGCCCTCTTTGGCCCACACAGTTGACAAGAACTTGATGACGTCTTCAGTCTCAGTCGATGACGTCAGGCAGACTTCCGCCCATTTGCTTCTGTAGTCAATCAGAGTGATGGCGTAACGGGCAGTCGCTGGTGCTCCGTTGATTGGACCAACGATATCCATTCCCAGTTTCGACCAGGCGCGGTCCGGCAGGTCGACTGGCTGCATGGGCGCAGGGCGTGCGCGCTGGGAGAGGACTGCGTCGCTGTGCTGGCAGCGCTCGCAACTTCGGCACAGCTCCTCCACCTCACGGTTGATGCCGGGCCACCACGCCAGATTCCGCAGCGCCTGTTTCATGCGGACGATTCCGTCGTGCGCGCTGTGCGCTAGCTCCAGGTATCTGCGGCGGAGCTGAACGGGCACAACAACTTGTTGGGCTCCTCTCAGGATGACGTCGTCGTTGCGCACCCACAACTCGTGTCTCATCTTGAAGTACGGCTGGACTTCAACCGGGCAGGCCTTGGCGCTGCTCGGCCAGCCGCGCTTGATCTGATGACGCAGCTGCTGCAGCTCAGGATCAGCAGCTGACGCGGTGCGGACGTCTTGCTCGGTCAGCACGCTCTCTTCATCTGTCAGAAGAGCGATCACCTCTTCTTCAGCGGAGCTGTCTTCATGGAGGTCCGCTTCTTCGGCAGGAACTGGCATCCTGGAGAGGGCGTCTGCTGCAGGAGTTAGGTTCCGGCCAGGCACGTACTGGACTGTGTACGCATACGGCAGCAGGCGTGCCTGCCAGCGCGCGATCCTCGCGCCCGCTCTCCCCGAGAAGCTGGGCGAGAGCAGTGTCTGCAGCGCCGAATGATCTGTGCGGAGAGTGAACGGACGTCCCCACAGATACAGTTTCCAGTGTTCCACGGCGAGAACAGCGCTCAGTGCTTCCAGCTCAGACACTGAGTAGCGCTGCTCGGTAGGGGTGAACGCCCGAGACCAGAACGCTACGGCGTTTTCTTCTCCATCGGAGCTCAGCTGCGTGAGTACAGCTCCAGCGCCCTTGCCGCTGCCGTCGGACGTGACGAATGTAGGCAGGCTCTGGTCGAACGGCTTCAGTGTCGGGCTTGCAGCTATCTTCAGCTTGACCTCGTTGAAAGCTCGGTTCGCTGTGTCGTCCCAGACGAACTTGGTGCCCTTCTTCAGCAGCCGGTACAGTGGACGGACGGTCTCGGCGTACTCAGGGACGAATCTGAGAAACCATCCACACATCCCCAGGAACGACTTCAGCTCCTTGGCGTTCTCCGGCGGTGGTGCGTCAGTCACGGCCTTGATCTGTGACTGCAGTGGTGTGACTCCCGACGCAGACAGCGTGAAGCCACAGAAGTCGACAGCTGCTTTGCTGAACACAGACTTCTCTCTGTTGACTGTCAAGTTGGCCTCCTTCAGTCGGGCCATGACGCGCCGAAGACGGTCGTCGTGTTCTTCCTGTGACACTCCCACGACCGCGACGTCGTCCATGTAGTGAACACATCCCGGGATGCCGTCCAGCAGGTTGTCCAGCAATCTCTGGAACGCAGATCCTGCCGAGACCAGACCAAACGGAACCCTCGTGAACCGTCGTAGGCCTCGGTGAGTCAGGAACGTGGTGAGCTGACGGGAAGCAGGCTCCAGCTCCAGCTGATGGTATGCGCTCTGCAGGTCGATAACTGTGAAGATGTTGCCCTTCAGCTGGTCTTGGAGCTCCTCTGCCGTCGGCAGGGGATGAACTTCGGCGATGACCTGTCGATTCAGGTCCCTGAGATCCACGCAGATGCGCAGCTTCCCGTTCCTTTTCCTGCTGACGACCATCGGGTGAACCCAGTCGCTGACTTCGACCGGTTCGATGACTCCTTCCTCCTGGAGTCGGCGGAGCTTGTGACGCACCGGTACAGCATCAGGACGGAGAACAATCCTGTGCTGGTAGCCACGGACTGTCGTCAGTGAGCATATCTCGCCAGGGTCGGGCTGAGACGGTGGCGGTTCCGGGACTTCTGCGCTCCCAGTGACCGCCAGCTGATCGATTGCCCCACTCGCGGGGTGCAGGTTTACGTCCAACTGCTTCAGCAGGTCCAGTCCCATGACGGCTTCTTCACCGTCGGAATCTATGATGAAGAACTCTGTGTTGGCTCGCCGTCCACGGTAGGTCACCAGCGCTGGCAGCGTGCCAAGCACTTGAAGCTGGTGTCGACCAAAACCGAACAGACGAGCAGACGTTCTATTGAGATGACTGCCTTTGAAGAGACGTCTGGCGATGCCGAGTCCTAAAGCGGACACCGTGGCACCCGTGTCAACTTGCAGATTCACGGTCTGCGTGATACCTGGTACCTCCATCTGTACTTCGCACATCATCTTATCGGTATTTGGTACGGCGCAGCAGAGAACAGTCAGCTCGTGACACCTTCTGTCGTCGTTCCGTTCACCAGACCAGCAGACCACGGCAAAGTGACCCGTCCGCCCACACTGCCTGCACGTGGCCCCGGTAGCGGGACACCGACCGCGCTCATTGTGCTGGCGCCGGCCGCAGCTGGGGCACGTGTCCGGTTGCAGCTGGGCAGGTCCGGGGCGACGGTCGGCTTGCAACTGGGCAGGGGCGGGGCGGCGGTCGTCTTGCCGCCGGGCGGGTCGCCAGGGCCGGCGCCCGCGGCGCTGACGAGCGTCAGATATCTGATGCAGTGACTGCGCTCCGTCGGCGGCGGGCCGCGCCGGCCCGGCCATGGCGGTCGCCTCGCGTCGGGATCGCTCGAATGCCTCGGCGATCTCCAGAACGCGGTCCAGGGTCAGGCCCTTATCCTGCAGAAAACGCTCGCGGAGAATCGGATGCACTGTTGCTTCCACGACTTGGTCACGTATCATTGCGTCTGTCATTTGTCCAAACGAGCAGTTTACTGCCAGGCGGCGCAGCGCCGCCACGTAGTCGGCCGTCGGCTCGTGCGACTCTTGCCGTCGCTGCCGGAAGAAGAACCGCTCCGCGATCACGTTGACCTGAGGTTCATAAAACTCGGCGAGCTGCCGCTCAGCCGCATGGAACTCGTCTTCGTCTTCTCTCCTCGGCTGGACCGGTAGGGTACGGTACACCCGTTGCGCCTCGGCGCCGACACAGTGCAGAAGGAGAGCCGTCTTCCTCTCCGTGCTGTAGGCCTCACCTCTCAGGGCAGTCAGGTAGTTGTGGAAACTGAAAATCCAGTCACTCCAGGGCAGTGCTGGTTTTCCTGGTCTCGCCAGGAACGGAGTTGGCGGCGACACCCCCTCGACGTTCATCGTCGGTAGTATTCAGGATCTCATCCTCGTCGCCAGATGTAGTGTCCACCGCCGTCTCCGGATTCCGATGTATTCTCACAAACTCGCGGTGCAAAACACTAAGGCACTGCCGTGCTGTGCGGCCGGGCGGAGCCTCTCGACTGCTGGCTCTGACTGGAGCCGAGCAGGGTGCGGCCGCCTCACACTCGTATTACCGGGGGCCCGATGCCGAGCCTCGGACACCCGATGCACTAGGTACTCGATACACTACAATGTGCTTGACACAAGCCCCGGCAGACTGAAATATCTTGCATAAAACTAGAGGTTACGCCGAACGTAACCCCACTAAGTTTTCAAATCGATGTTTGTCATCTGTCCGCTCCTCCGTGTGTTTGCTGCACTCTCCGTCATTTCGTGATTTCGACATACGTACCTATTCTTCGCGCCTCCTTGAGTTTCTGTACGTTCTTTACCCCTGTGAGCCTGCTTTACCTGTTCCTCTGCGATTTAGCTGAATGTTCCCTTCTGTGACCCGTCTAACCGTCCTTGGTCCTATCCCTACCACGGCGGCTGGTGGTTGGACTACACCACAACTCTTCTCTATTTGTGGTGTTAGTGACTTAATTGGTTGGGCAGCTTCTGACTATAGAATGACCTTGGAACTGCATGGCTCCCAGACACGGAGCTCTCAGAGTTGAGACCCCAATTTGTTCGGACTCCGCCTCGCTAGGCGGAACTGGCGAGCCAAACGGTTACTGAGGCGGATACAGGGCTAAATTATGTGGGATTTTAGCTGAGTGCACTGTCCTCTCTTTGTGCTTTGAGCTAATTTATTAATGATATTTGATTTTCTAAGGTTTGTTTCACTTCCAGACCGCGAATGCTAGCACAGCATCAACGGATGTTAGTGAGCCAACGCATATCTGTTTCTTCCTGAGTTGTCTGACCAGCATTCAACTTCTCGGCCGTGTGTCTCTTAGCCGCCCGTCTGTAACCCGTCTGTTTTCTGCGTTACAGTTCGGCATGCCCTACTTCCCGATCAACTCGGACAAGGATCTCCTGGCGCTGAAGTTTTTCCTTCAGTGCGGCTACATGTAGTGCGCTGCCTGCTGCCATATCGGTGAGTACTCCGAGGCGCTCATAAGACGAGTTGACTTCTGAGGGGAGTCTGTTGGCTTGTCATGCATTCCAGCTTGGTGATCTCAATTTGTCATGCAATAAGCCTGATCGGATGATGATTATCTACGTCGCCGACCGCATCAAGCTTGGCTGATTAGCATGTCCTATCGCCGGGTAATCATCCAATCAGTGTACCGTTTTCGTGAATAAGGCTTCTGGTCTGTTCAATAATAATCCAACATTTACCGTTGTCCGTACTCCAATGTCTCCCGTCCTTAGTAACCCGACATTTACCGTTCTGACACTGTCACCTTTTGATTCTGTTTTGACAGCTGTGCCCTGTGTGTCGACAGGTATCCATGACAGTGCGGCATATCGTCTGGAGCTGTCATTGCTGTCAGGAAGCTGCCAGGTGGTCGTCGGCTGATATGAGATCACTCACCACCACTCAACTCGGCCCGAACAGACCCACACCGACAGCAGCCGTCCACCGTTCCCAGGCGTCTCTCCACCCTTCCACCACACTCCATGGACAGGCCGTGCCACCACCCCCGGGTCACCGGCCGGCCCTCCGTGCCGCCGGGACGCCGGCCGGGGTCGCCGGGTCAACTCCTCGGCAGCGCGCGCGCCGCCGCCGGGCGCTGACCTTGAACCGCTGGTGTGAACGCCGTCACATCGCGAGGTATGAGTGATGGGTGGAGCTCCCGCCGCCCCGGGCACCAGACGCGATGGTTCGCCGTGGTCTGCCGTGGTCTCGTGGTGGTCTGCGGTGGTCTGAGATGGCCCAGGGTGGTCCTAGTATGGTCTGAGACCATCCGGTCTGTCCGGGATTTGTTAGGTGTTTGATTGCCGACATGAAGAACCCAGAGTCCTTTAAGATCGCTGTACGCGGCTGGTACACGGCTGTCCTTCCCGGTAGCTGCCCGTGACATCAAATGGAGCCGTGACGTCGGCCTAAGACGTGACTTTAAGTGACGGACGTTGATGTCGGCGCGTCACAGGTCACCGGGCGGCCGGAACTGTGACAGAACAAACTGATGTTGGCGGGGAGCGGTGGCCGCCGGCCCGAGAACCTAGCGTCTGCCGCGGCCGTACTGTATTTAAGTTATTAATGAAGACCGTTCGGTTATAATTGTGATACCGTTTGTTGGCTGGCTCGTGTGACGCGCCGCGCGCCGCGTGTCGCGGACAGTGTCTGCTGTCTGTGTCTGCTGTCTGCTGTCTGTCTGGCCAGTGTTGTCTGAGGGCCGCCCGCCGCCCGTCTCTGCTCCCTGAGATTGTCGGCCGGGCTCGCGGCGCCGGAGCTCCGTGAAATACCTGGCTCTCTTCATGAATTCGTTTTTGTTGTACGCCTGTGCTCTGCCCAGGTGAAATGCTTCATGTGAATGCGGAAAGTATCGATCGATCCAGCTTGCTTTATTGCGACGTGCCAATGTTAAGGCGCATTTGTGAGCTCTTCTATGGCACACACCAGTGTGAAATCTACAACTGTCCTCCCTGGATGCTTCGTAAAGCTCAAAGTACACATAGCTCTGTATTATTCTGTAGCTACCATTGCTCCGTTTGTATATTGTGTTTGGCTCATCAGGGTTTTAACAAAGAATTTTATCTTTTTATAAGCTGGATGACGCGTCCATCCCAGATATATTACGGTAATATTGTCCCATGCTGTATTATACCCCACTGTGTGTATATGCCAAAATGAACGTGACGCTAAGCTACATCTTGTCTTTGAAGTTTTTTTTTTCGCTGGACTGGATGGCCTGCTGATTCTTTTGCGGCGACTATAAACCAACACGATGGAGTTATTTTTCCTGGGAAACTTCTCGTAATCTATCAGGTGGCTTACTTGTTGACCGGTCGGCTCTCTTTGTTGCCGTGAAAATATCGGGCCCATTCGTGGAAATTCAATCGTCACGCTAATGATAATCGCACTGATATCATCATGTCATTAATTATATCACTTGGCTATAACTTCACAACTGAGACCGTCGTCAGGTGGAACGATCAATCGGCCGCCTACATAACTGTTATGGAAATATTGACTCATATTGCTGTCGTTTCCTGGAATAGTCGACCGACATATTCAGTTATTCTTAAAAAGTCTACGACCGGAACTCCGAAAAAAGTTTAGTTGAACAAAACGATATGGTCATCAGATGACTGCTAACGGGAAGTCACGGACCTGAGCTGTAGTTGCGTCGTCCGCTGGCCGATGACATGTAGTAGCGCCTACGAAGAGCGGACCGACATATATCACATACCTACCGAAGTTGTGCGCTAGTAAATTACTCATTTTATATTACGCTACATTGCTTGTTCTGAACAGAAGCAGCGCTCTTCTGGCTGCGCTGTAACTACCCATTAACCTTCTCAGCAGCCAGAGCAGCTCCTTTCCAGAACCTCGGCTAAGATCCGTCTGGGTCGTCGCCTCAGACTGCGCCGGCGGGATTTAGTGCGGAAGGCTAGCATAGTTCACCGCCCCAGGGCACGGAACTGCCGGGAGGCGCCGTCAGCTGTTCCTGTCACGTGACCATGCCCGCAGGGGGCGGAGCTGCCGGGATTGGTGGGGTGGCCCTCCTCTGCGAACCTATCGCTGGTCCTCAGATTTGGCCGGAGGGGACGGGATCAGGGTCAGCTTGGCTTCCAGGATCGGGCGAATCGCTGTAATCTGAACTCCGAAGGCAGCTGCGATTAGATACACATAAACGTCTTAATTGCAGGTCAATTGATATCGATTCAGGTTACCGATATTGTACAAGATTGCAGCAGTGGATCGGATGTTCTCAGAGGGCCAGCCTACCGTACCGTACAGAGTTGTTGCCACCAAACTTAAGTCGGCGGACAGGGAATTCGTGATGATCGGGCTCGACAGTAATGTCCTGGGGTCCAAGTGCTCAGTGGTCTTTGCAAATACTCGTTTAGTGCAAGGATAATGTGAATTCTACTTGCTGCGGTAGTTGTATTATACTCGCTACAAAATCATATTTGAAGGCGCTCGATATTTTAATTAATTATCTTATAAGAGGAAATAAGGAGGTACGGGCTCTGCTAGTCGTGATCATGCAGATGTTCCACAAACCACTACAACTTTATTATTCGTCGAGACGCCGTTATCGCACTGTGTGGCAGTGGCACACGGCCTTGTTTTTACCGGGTTTGCGGAACCGTGACCTTTGATTACACGCGACTTGTGATGGGCGAGTACCGAAAATGGAGCGAGGCTAGCGTAAACAGGGCCTGGTTTCATTGCTCCCCTTCAATTTCTGCACGGTTCTCGTTTGAGAATTAGCCATAAACTGTACGACTTAGAACGAAGAAATGGAAGTGGTGGACTTCTCTTGCCTTATTTGGCTGTATAGTAGGTAACAAATTCAGGTTACGTAAGATATGCTCGTAATGAACATATGTTCCTTGCATTCATCACAAGACCAGCTCCGGGATCCGGGATCACCGATTTGAGTGAAAAATAATGGCCATTTGACGGCAGTCATCCTCGGATAACTGAGTTGCTGTGTATGACCGATAAAGATAAAAAAGTAACACAAAACTTCAAAAAAGATTCAAACCGCTCACCTTCCTGTTAAGATGTGTCACGGCGCAATCACTGGCGGATCCAGTTCAGAGTTTTGGGAGGGGCAAACCATAACAAAATAGCGCTTCTTAAATGCACTGTCTATAGGCGTAATGCTAAAATTTTGCCGTTTGGGAGGCAAAATTTTTCCCTGAAGTCCCTGATGTCCCTGAAGCCTGAATAAATGATCTCATGTTCATACAGCAATGCGACTGATCGGTGGGCATTACGCCTCCTTCTGCTGAGCTGCATGTGTAAGGAAGTAATACTCGGTGACTGCATGTCACAGATGAGTGATTTGTTTTCGATTTCGGGGACCTATGACATCAGAATGTGAAGGTTTCGATCCAATCCGGCTGCTTCTGTCTTGTTTGCTACTAGCTCTGATGTTTGGATTTTTTTCTCGGTCCTAGACGGAAGAATTCGCTCGGATCAGAATTCATTTGCGACCATCACTTCAGGGTGGACACTGGACATGTGTTTTTGCAGTTATGTTGTTTGATGCATTCCATGCTGTATGTATGTTAAACGCCATTCTGCCCCTCAGAGTTGCACTTACGTACGTACACACAATCTGTCCCGGGTATTTGCTGTTGCATTCCTGGGAGGCATGACACAACCGGCTGATGTTTTGGGGTGCGGCTGATGGAGGAGAATCAGAGGCTCGGTAAGGGGGAAGTTACAGCTCACGCCTCACGGAGACGTAGATCCAAAAACCAAGAAGGGAGTGAGTCGTAACTGTGACTCTTACCGAGCTCTGTGACATGAGTGATGCCGCTGCAGCTCGACGTGATTCAGATCCGGAGTCACCCCGAGTCTTCTCAGAGTCGTAGTGACTCCGTGACCGAGTCGCAGTGACTCGTGCTGGAGTCATACTGACCTTCTGCACGACTCATCGATCATGAGGCATTACGCGATTGTTAATGTTCATGCAGACTGCAGAGTCCAGGCTCGGTTTCCAAGATGTTGATTCGGTTTGGTTGACTGAGTCAGCCTAGACAGCCTCTGCCGTCTCAGTTAGATGAGCTAGTCGTAGACAAACCGGGAGCTTCCAGCTATTCGTCTGACTCTGTCTGTTCGTTCTCTGTCTACTGGGCCTGGTAGTGCAGGCTGAACGAGTTTTTGGGTTGTATGGACCATCGAAGTCATAATCTGGCATTGGTTATTTTCTTGTCGGCAAATAATGGGATTTATGTTTAGACAGGTGCGGTGGCTTATAAAACAAATATCTCATTATCCGTCCAGTAAGAAACGAGCGAACTTCATAAGCCGCCTGGACATTTTTGTGACGGCTTCAATTTGCTCCCAGCGAGTATTTGTGCCTATCATCCAATCTGCTTTGATGATGATTAAGGTATCAAAGACAATAAGGAACTTTATGTGTCGACAGCTGACAATTCGGCGGATCTAAACTCCACCTACTGCGTTGATGGACCGTAACATTGTAGCGTGACGGGCCCTGACCTCTCGACCAGCGCTCTTTTCTGTAAATTGACAGAACGTACGGACGAACGAAGCAGATTCTGTCCATTTCTCGGCACCACGCAGTTTGCAGGTCACCGTCCTGCACCTCATCCGTCGTGGGGTCAGATATCAACCTTTGGCGACCCGGACACAACTCATTAATTATCGGCAGTGGTGAGTCGCAAACACAGGACACCGGCCTAGTCCCGCACACGCAGTAACGAATTCCTGGGATGAAGGCATCGCTATCAGATCCGGCTCACGGACAATCGCGACAAATAGAACTATATTTTAAAGCGACACATTCAAACGAAAACAGGGATTTTGCGCTCTGATGGATGTTCGTGTCAATCAAAAACATGCGAACAGCTGATTAGCAATGAATATCCTGGAGGGACAGTGCGTTTTCTCTAAGAACAGCTGGTGTACAGACCGTAAACATCCGTGATTGTTTCACTGCTCCCGGTAGGCTGTGACGCTAAGGTGATGAAAAACATCATCATTTGTCTCAGCCGCCTGACAGGTCTCTGTCTATGTAATGTTAGCTATGTGCTGTGAGCCGGTAGCGAAACGCAATCCAAAATGACAGCAGATGTTTTAATTATGGCGAGCTGTAGGTAATACCGGTCTTGTATCCGCAGAAGCGGATGTGCTTTTTGTGCATTAGACTAGCTATATCCGCCTTTCTGCCTTAGAAAAATTACGATCCTTTTGCATATTCCTATTATTTGGAATATGGATAGCGACAACAGTATCCATGCCGTCATTTTGAGATGCACGCCGCTTGTTTTACCACCAGCCACCCGAACTAATAAGCCCTTAATTCGATTTTAATATCTAACGTTCAGCTTGGCTTTGCTAGCACAGGTCTCCCAGATTTGTTTGGCCTCTGTAGGAGTCATGCCTACATCGTCTGCATTCCAGTTCGTTCATTCTCGCGGTCCCACGCCCTGCTTGCCCTCATATCTGTACTGCGTCTTGGCCTTGCGCCGACCTTGCGACCGGGCCATATCCCTCGTCTTTGGCCACTGACCACCATTGACCCCGACCTTTAGGGCGCATGAATGTTGACCCCCTGGTCAGTCAACTCTGTTCATGGCAGTCCCAGGCTGTTTACAGAGTATTTCTGGGCTATTTCCAAGCCGTTTTCTCGTCCATTCTAGCCGTTCGTGCAGTAATCGTGGCACTAGCACTGTGAGGCGGCCTCTGCCCTAGCACAATGCGCAGCGCACATGGTCAAGTGACGGTTGGATGGCGCCTGTTTGCAGCAGGCTGAGACAATGTGTGGGCTGGGCAATGACCATTAATATAATTGACAATAACGATCTTTTTCTTGCTTCCCTGGGCAATCATGGAAATGAAACGAAGATACAGTAAGCATAATTTAACAATGATCTGTGGAAGTTACCATTGGACGGCCCGAAAAGGCTTTTGATCGGGCGGTGACCAAGCATGAAATGCGCCAGGAGGACACTCGTAATATCCTCTTACGGCAACTGACAGACCGATGAGTCGAGTGGAAAAGTTAATGCCCCGGGGATACCAAACCGGTCCGGTGAGGGTGGATGATGATGCGGGGGTGGATGGGGGTAACTGCGCAAATGATGAACACGGTTCAGCCGGGTTTAATGTGTCGATGAGTCACGGGAACGGTGTTCATGTATAATGACGACCAGACCGTTA